TAATACTGCCAGTTAGAATAATCTTGGCTCAGGACCCGTGGGACTCACCAGTCATTATGCTGTACTGGAAAGTAAACCTGATCTGGCAGCCTCATTAGATTATAATCAGCTCAGATCTTTCCTTCTGGCTTCTCAGGGCATAGCTGTGTGTCTGGAGCAGCAGAGGGGAGGAAACCACCTCGCCTCCCCAGATTTCTGTATTTCTTCTAGGTTCATGGCTCCAATTAAATCTTTATCCTGTTAAGGTGGAGAATAACTCATTGTCCACTATGCCTATCACTTTAAGTGGGCATCTAATTTGTTTCAGAAGCTATGAGGGAGCCCCAGGGTCGCATCTATAATCTTGAGAGTACAGTTCCAGGGTATAGGCTGTATGGGCCAATAGATGCTGGGCTAAGATGTATAGTCCTTGTTTGGTAACCATAGCACTAACAGCTACCACCCATTGAGTGCTTAGTAGGTTCTGCATGCTCTGTATTAACTTGTTTAATCCTGGGGCCAGGGTTGTAGCATAGCAAGACAAGCTACTGCCTGTGACGCCAGCATCCCATATGGGCGGCAGTTGGAGTACCAACTGTTCCACTTCTGATCCAGCTCCCTGCTAATGTGCCTGGGAGAGCAGCAGAAGTTGGCCCAAGTGCTTGGGCCCTCAGACCCAAGTGGGAGACCTGGAAGAAGCTCCTGGCTACTGTCTTCGGCCTGGCCAAACCTTGGCCATTGTGGCCATTTGATGAATAAACCAGCAGATGGAAGATCTCTCTCTCTATCTCTCTCACTGCCTTTCAAATAAATACATAAATAAATAATCCTTTAAAAATAGTTTAACCCTCAGACCAACCATTTAGGCTTTAGGCTATGTACTCTACTATTCTTTTTTTTTTTTTTTTGACAGGCAGAGTGGACAGTGAGAGAGAGAGACAGAGAGAAAGGTCTTCCTTTGCCGTTGATTCACCCTCCAATGGCTGCCGCGGCCGGCAGGCTGCAGCCGGCGCACCGCGCTGATCCAATGGCAGGAGCCAGGTGCTTTTCCTGGTCTACCATGGGGTGCAGGGCCCAAGCACTTGGGCCATCCTCCACTGCACTCCTGGGCCACAGCAGAGAGCTGGCCTGGAAGAGGGACAACCGGGACAGAATCCGGCACCCCGACCGGGACTAGAACCTGGTGTGCCAGCGCTGCAAGGTGGAGGATTAGCCTAGTGAGCCGCGGCGCCGGCTGTACTCTACTATTCTAATTTAGCAGGAGGGACAATGTCTAAGTAGCCAAGTTAAAAAATGGTAGAATCAGGATTGCAGCCCAGGCAGACTGGCACTGGATTCTATATTCTTAATATTTCCCAATGCCATAGTCTATAGATTATGGGAGCTATAGAAGGCAGCTAAGTAAACATGATATGAAGACAGTGAAACTTAGGCAATGTCACTTGGAAACAGATAGCATGATGAATGGACAAGCAAGGAATCCAGTAACAGGATCTTTTGTAATAATCTTGGTACGGGAATTAGGTTGGAGGCAGTGACCACAGAGAGCCTGGAATGTGAGAGATGGTGTGAAGTATACATTTGAACTCACTTGGGACCCTGGAGTGTTCCCCTTGAGACAATGGGGGGAGGGACATGATTAGAAATCCAAGTGGCAGACAGTACTTGGAACCAGCAAGTGACCTTGATATGATAAAATTTCAAAGGTGTAGAGACAAAGTGTCCCCCAACTCCAGTCACTCTACCCCTAGAAGGGGGACTGCTGCGGGGGATTAGATACACTCAACAGGGTGACAAGGCCAGAGAATGTGAAGAGATTACAAAGAGACCCACCCTGCATCCCTTCCCACCTGAAGGGAAGTCTGGTCCAGGGTGACCCGCGGATCCCCCAGCTTCCTTAGAAGTGTGGAGGGCAGCTAAGGGGGAGGGTGTGCTCACATTTTCACGGATCCTCAGACTTCCTGCTTTGGAAGGAAGGAGGTCAGACGTCCTGTTGGGAAGGTGGTGGAGGCTGGGAGAAGCCAGCTGAGTCCCAGGTGCTGCACCTGCCTTTACTCAAGGGCTGGTGCTAAGGCAGCATCCCAGGGCAGGGCTAGGTGGTAGGACTGCAGCCTGTGTTCCCCACTATGTGTTTTCCCTTGAGCAGCACGTGTCCACCTCATCCACCTGCGTACTCAGAGCTGAGGTCATCAATCAGGTGGGATTTATGGATTCAGAGTCCACCTTTAACAACTGTGATAATGATGTTTCTTTTGCCTATCCAGACTTTACTGCCCTTAGCTGCCTATGTTTGCCCATTTTTATTTTATTTTATTTTATTTTTATTTATTTTTTGACAGGCAGAGTGCACAGTGAGAGACAGAGACATAGAGAAAGGTCTTCCTTTTTCTGTTGGTTCACCCCCCAATGGCCGCTGCAGCCAGTGCTGTGGATGGCGCACTGCGCTGATCCTAAGCAGGAGCCAGGTGCTTCTCCTGGTCTCCCATGGCGTGCAGGGCCCAAGCACTTGGGCCATCCTCCACTGCACTCCTTGGCCACAGCAGAGAGCTGGCCTGGAAGAGGAGCAACCGGGACAGAATCCGGTGCCCCAACCGGGACTAGAACCCGGAGTGCCGGCGCCGCAGGCAGAGGATTAGCCTAGTGAGACGCAGTACCGGCCTGGTTTGCTCGTTTTGATAAGATACAACTTGAAGTGTTTGGTAGAAGAGCTAAAAGTGCTGTGGAAAAAAGACATCTTTCTCCCACCCCAAATGGTTCAGTGTCTGATAAAAGGATGAAATCTGATGCTCTGATTGAGTGAAAACCAAGGGCCATGTGGATATCAATAGCTTGGAAGTGGAGGTGGAGGTATTGATATTTTTGAATAACGTATGTTCACACTTCATCATTTTAATTAACAAAGTTATTTTTCTTGTAATTTCAGCAGGAGGTATTCCAGGATAAGAGCATAAAACCTGGATTTATGTGAATAGAGTTTTTTTTTTTTAATTTCATCACTAAATCCAAATAGCATTTTCCTAGTATGAAACCAGATGGCAAAGAGTTTGTTTGTGGTCAAAGGCATTATGTCGGAGAGAACCTTTCATACTTAGGCAGATTTGAATAAATCCCAGAAGTGATTTAAGACATGATATGTCTCTTAGAACTTAAACCATGGCAGGTACTTTTATTAACAAAATTTATACACTCAAACACAGTGACTCAAAGGAGCCAATTTTCATTCTGGCAAGTTGTAATTCCCCCCTCCCCCCTTTTTGACCACTGACTGTATATGTGGAATTAGGGTTGTCTTGGAAAACTCACTCTGTGAGTCAGAGTTTGCATATTTCTCGTATCCTAGCTGAAGAATATCTTCTGATCCAATTTTCAAGACCTTACCGTGTTTGAAAGGAATGATTTTGGGAGAGATAACCAAACACTGGTATGCTGTTTTCTTTAATAGTCTATAAGTTACATATTTGACACCTCCAACGATGCCAGCTTTAGCTGAGGTATTATCCTTTAAAGGTTATTTGAAACCTTAAATTACTTTGCAAATGTAACAAGGTATTATAGGAGCTTCGATGAAAAGCCAAACTTATTCCCAGTGGGAATTAGACAATGAGGCTAACTCTTCCCTGCTTCCAGAATACAGACTGATAACCACGGTTTTGGAGCCAAAACAGGGATCCTTCAGGGAAATTGCTGGGGGCTATACACAGATGTGGACAATCACTGAAAGGCACGGTGATCACAGTGACTTACCAACATGGTCTACTTTGAGGTCGATGTCCCTCTTATAGCTCACCGGTTGACTTCTCTGACTGTAATTTCCTGAGTTTTTTACATCTCAGTTTCTTTCCGACTTCATTGATACATTGACTCAATTTCATGTGATGCTGGAGGATTAGAGGACACAGTTCCAGATCTGGGCTGAGAGCTCTGGATAAGGCAGAAGTGATGTGCACCAATGCAGTCTTGCTTAGCTGCTTACAGCCATGCAGGTCCACCTAGACCTGGGAGTCTAGGGGGTCTCTAATAGTCAATCATAGAATAAAAACAAGCACTCAAGACTCAGTATTTGGTGTAGCAGTTAAGATGCTGCTTGTAGGGGAGGCAGTGTTGAGGCACAGCAGATTAAGCCTCCACCTGTGACACTGGCATCCCATATGGGTGCCTGTTCAAGACCCTACTGTTCCATTTCCACTCTAGCTTCCTAGTAATGCGGCTGGGAAAGCAGCAGAAGATGGCCCAAGTGCTTGGGCCCCTGCACGCCCTTGATAGACCTGGAAGAAGCTCCTGGCTCCTGGCTTCGGATTAGCCCAGCCCAATCTGGCCATTGCAGCCATTTTAAGTGAACCAGCAGATAGAAGACTCTCTCTCTCAGTCTCTCCCTCTCTCTCAGTCTCTTTCTACCACCTCTCTTCTCTCTGTAACTCTGCCTTTCAAATAAGTAGAAAATAAATCTTTAAAAAAGGGATAAAAAAAAGATGCAGCTTGGGAAGCCCACATTCCATATCAGAGTGCCTGGAGTCCAGCTCTGCTTCCAATCCTGCTCTGCTAATGTGCACCCAAGGATGCAGCTGGTGACAGTTCAAGTGCTTAGGGGTCCTTGCCACTCACAGATAACACCCAGATTAAGCTCTTGGCCCCTGACTTCAGCCCTAGTTGTTATGGGCATTTGGGGGAGAGTGAAGCAGCAGATGGAATATCTTTCCTCCCCCCTTCGTTTCAAATAAAATGAAAATAAATAATGTTTTCAAAATCCTAAAAAAACATAAAACACAAAACAAATCTGATCTTGCAATGTGGGATGGAGTCCAGGAGTCTATGTTCTCAACAGTCATTCCAGGGAGCTCCCAGGCAGCTGGTCAGAGGGCCACAGCATGAGGAACCCTGCATAGAGGGGCCTAACTACATGACATGTTAATGCTCAAGAAAATTGATTAGCTAGTAGTGTCCCCACTTCTATTGAGTAGAAATAATGTAGTTTTGTCTTGGTAAATACAAATGAAGGAGTGACGGTGGCCCATCTTCTCCAGCAGGCTTGAATGCTTCAGATTGCTTCTTCAGCACACTTGGGATATACAAGGTAAGGATAAATATTCTCAGAGATGTGGTCTGGTCACAAGGACCAAGGAAAGTAGTGTGAGAATGTAGACGCAGGCTTTCAATACTCTGCTCTTGAATCACTTTGTCTGCATTGACTTGGGAGTCAATAAGAAACAACTAAGCCAGTGAATTAGCTGATAAAGCACAAATCAGAGAAAGCACAGAGGATGATGACATACAGCAATGGGGATATCCTTAATCCTGTAGGAACAAGATAAAGAGTGACAACGCAGAGGAGCGAGTTACAATGTTCCACAGGCTTTGCTAGCACAATGGGAATCTCAGTCCCAAGACACTGTTGTGTGGCTTTCGTAAATATGTTTAGATCCTTATGATTTTAGGGAGCTCACAAGTAAAAGATACAAGTGGACCATAGGTAGGCAGCACAGAAATGTGTTGTGTGCTCTACAATGCTTCCCTTTGGCAGGCAGTTGGAGGAAAAGAGTCATGGATCTTCAGGCTTCCAGGTCATTTGGCATATGCTTTTTGTGCACTTACTGTGTATTCAGTAGGGCCACAGAGACCTGACCCACGTTCTCTGTTGACTGCCAGCCAGACAGCCGCCTTGAATTTCTCAGAGCTAAAGCTGCCTTTCAATTTCTGGTTGTAGCAGACAGATGTAAGCAGCTTGCCTGCTTGCTTTCTTAAAGACTTATTTTAAAGGCAGAGTTACAATGAGAAAAGGAGGGAGAGAGAGAGTGAGGTCTTCTACCCACTGGTTCATTCCTCTAATGGCTGCAATGACCAGGGCTGGGCCAGGCCGAAGCCAGGAGACAGGAGCTTGTTCCAGGTCTCCCATGTGGGTGCAGGGGCCCAAGCACTTGGGCCATCCTCTGCTGCTTTCCCAGGCACACTAGCAGGGAGCTAGATTAAAAAATGGAGCAGCTGGGATTTGAACTGGTGCCAGTATGGGATGCTGACACTGCAGGCCATGGCTTTCATCTGCTGTGTCACAGCACTGGCCCCATAAGTGGCTTTCTGATGTTTTGGACTTTTATTCCTTTTTATGTGGCTAACTCAATAGTCAACCTGGAGAGTTGCAAGCACCAACTGATTGCTGCAGATCACTGATTTCTAGTTCAAAACCTGAAAAAAAAATTCATGAAGACACTGGTGTGGTTGAGAGAGGCCTCAGTCCCCATGAGTTAAACAGTGCTGGAGAGACCATCAGGTGCTGTGCAAGATACAGGCCTTGGGGTTCCTACACCTGACTTCAGGTTCGGCTACTTGTTTCTCTGAGTCCCAGTTTTCTCCTCTGTAAAACAGATACTTCTGCTTATCTCATCAGGTTTATGTAACAATTATGAAGACACACAAACATATGAGTCTAGCACAGGGCAGGCCCATCGCAGGGACTGAGGTAATATAAAATGCTCCCTTCTGCTCTATTCTTATATTCCAGGCCTTCAGGAAATATAAATCTCATGTGTGGAAAACTTCCAGATCAAGCAGCTAGTACATTTTGGTTTGCACTTTCCTAGGAGGGCAAACTATCTGGAGAGAAATCCTCTGTCAGAGTTTACTGCAGGGGCCAGCGCTATGGCGCAGTAGGTTAAAGTCCTGGCCTAAAGCGCCGGCATCCCATATGGGCGCCAGTTCTAGTCCCAGCTGTTCCTCTTCTGATCCAGCTCTCTGCTATGGCCTAGGATAGCAGGAGAAGATGGTCCAAGTCCTTGGGCCCCTGTACCCATGTGGGAGACTGGGAAGAAGCTCCGGGCTCCTGGATTTGGATCAGCGCAGCTCTGGCTGTTGCAGCCATCTAGGGAGTGAATCAGCAGATGGAAGACCTCTCTCTCTGTCTCCACCTCTCTCTGTAACTCTGTCTTTCAAATAAGTAAAATAAATCTTAAAAATAATAGTTTACTGCAAACTGTACATAAGATATTTTAATCCTATAAAGCAGACATCACCATCTGTCTTGGGGCTTGTTGTAGCCCCTGAGTTCTTTCTGTAAAGCAAAGCCTGAGACTGGGTTGTGTGCAAGTCGCTTATCTTGGGAAGTGATCTCAGGGAGCCAGGAAAGAGAAAACAGGGAAAAGTAGAGGCCAACACCTGCCAAATTGTGCTAAACACATTTGCTCACAGTTGTGGGAAGCTGGAGCATGATCCTCCTGGAACCCTCTGAGATCCATGAAGGAGGCATCTCATGAGGTGGGCATTTGGCACAGGTTTAAGACACCACCAGAGACCCCCTCATCCCATATCCGAGTGCCTGAGTTTGAGTCTCATCTCTACTTCCAATCCCAGCATCCTGCAGTGTGCGCCCTAGGAGGCCGCAGGTGATGGCTCATGTACATGGATCCCTGCCACCTGCATGGGAGACCCAGGAGTTCCAGGCTCTTGGCTTTGGCCTGCCCCAGCCCTGGCTGATGCAGGAATTTGGGGAGTGAACTGGAGGATGAAATATATCTTTTTGTCTCTCAAACAAAAATACAAATAAAATTTTTTAAAAGATTTATTTATTTATTTGAAAGGCAGAGTTACAGAAAGGTAGAAGGAGAGAGAGAAAGAGAGAGAGGTCTTCCATGTGCTAGTTTACTCCCCAAATGGTCAAAACAGCCAGAGATGTGCTGATCTGAAGCGAGGAGCTTCCTCCAGGTCTCCCTCGTGGGTGCAGGGACCCACGTGGTTTAACCCACTGAGCCACAATGCTGGCCCCCAAATAAAAATTTTTAAAAGAACACATTTCATAATTGTCCATGCAGGGAACCCACTGGGGACAGACGTTCACAAGCTGTCCTCCTGACTAGTCAAGGATCAACCCCAGGTGTTAAGTCCCTCACACTACCAAGATTGCACAAGTTCTGGGTGATTCCTGTAGATATTGCCAGCCAGATGTCTAAGAAGCCACAGATAAGCATGCAGCAGACAAGAGGTACGCTCAGGGAAGCCAGAATAAAAGGTTGGGTCCGGAGAATGTGAAGCTGGATGCAGCCAAGTCCAATACAGAGCTCCACTGGCCAAAAAATGAACAAGTCTGCTTCTGCCTTCAAACCTTTTACAGTGACAGCCCCTGGAATAGTCTTCAATGGCCTCCAGGTGGCCCTGGGAGCTTCCCCGTTCTCTTGGGTTCTGACCTTTTATTGCATGCATGGTCTCAGTAATTTGGCACTCGATGACAGACCCTCTTCCTTGTCCTTTAATGTCTGTGTGTTTTCATCGCATTGCCCTTCCCCACGAGAAACACCAACCTCCTCAGGTCGTTTGGGATTGAGTCTTCTAATTCCTTTTCATCTGATCAGCACCTAACTGCGCTCAGCAGAAATCTGTTGACTGGAGCTCATTTAGTAGATGATAAATCGTTTCTCAGCACAATTATCTTTTCAGGGGCCTGCAGAGTCTCCCTGCTCCCTAACTGTATTGAGACCCTCACCAATTAATGGGGCTCGGAAAGCAGCACTTTTAATGAGGGGCAGGGGTCTGGGAGCTCAGGATGTTGTAACGTTTTCATCAGCAATTCCTTCTGCTCCCTTTGTGTTTGGTTTCATTCTGATTCCTTCACAGCCAGTAGCACTCAGACTACAGCCTTTTATTGACATGTTCTGTGTGTGATGAAACACACATGTGCTGGTCCTTTCTCTGCCTAATGTTTTCCTGCTCCGCCATAGTCCTTGCCAGCTAGGGATGCCGTCAAGGTGTGAGCAGTATCTAGGAGCTGTGGTGGATTAGCAGGGAACTAGCACTTGTTGGATTCTTTGGAATGGAAGGGCTCCAAGTTACCTTCAGTGTTTCTTGTTGTGACCCTGGAGCCACTTATGTGCAAATACCCACGGCTGCCGGACGCAGTTGCACAGCCTGTGTAATGGACAGTTCTCAAGAGAGATCGCACCGTGGTCCATACCAACCCAGCCCCTGGACGAGGGCAGTGCATAGCCTGTGCGGCCACACACAGGTTCTAACGAATCAGAGTCTCTATGGAAGGGGGCCCAGGAACCTGCATTTTAATTTCACAGATTCCTATTAACACTAAAGCTTGAAAATCACTGCTTGGGAGATGGGCTTTAAGAGGAAGATACACCAGAAGGAAAGAAATATGGGAAAAACGATCTTAGAATTTATACCATTCTTGGATCCTCTGCTTCCCAGGCTTAAATGTACAGCTGGCTTCCAGGAAAACTCAGTGAATCATTGTTATTCAGAGTATGATGATCCTGTTAGTGACCTGGTCATCTTCCCCCCTCCTCTCAAGTAGGCATCTCTCATTTTCTTTTCTGGATGCTTTTACATTCAGTTTTTTCAGGAAATACTGATCAGGCGGGGTCGTCACCACTCCGATATATAGGGCGATCCAATTGGATAGCATTTCAAGTAAAGTTATTTGCTTGGTAACTTGCTTATGTTCGGTTTACATAGTCATGGCTGCTTTTGGCTTGGGCACTCTTGTTTGGCACTAGGATCATCACCTATGGTGAGTGAATGAAGAAAAGACCACTTTCCTCCTAAGGGAGCTGTGGGCATGGCCAGTCCCTAGTGCTTTAATGCTTATTAGGACAGGAAGGGAATCATGTCACATAAGAGCTACTAGGTATGGGATATCACCTGTACCAGACATGTTTCCTAAGCATTTCATTAGCATTCATAGTTTTGATCCTCAAAAACAAACATGGGTGATAGGCATTTTATTGGCCTCATTCTATAGGTTGAAAAATTGAGATGTAGAACTTTCCCAACAGTTTGTGCTGGGGATAGAACAGTATTAAGAAGGAGAATGTGGCTGGTGCCACGGCTTGCTTGGCTAATCCTACACCTGCGGTGCCAGTACCCTGGGTTCTAGTCCCGGTTGGGGTGTCAGATTCTGTCCCGGTTGCTCCTCTTCCAGGCCAGCTCTCTGCTGCGGTCTGGGAGTGCAGTGGAGGATGGCCCAGGTCCTTGGGCCCTGCACCCGCATGGGAGACCAGGAGGAAGCACCTGGCTCCTGGCTTCGGATCGGCACAGCGCGCCGGCAGTAGCAGCCATTTGGGGGGTGAACCAATGGCAAAAAGGAAGACCTTTCTCTCTGTCTCTGTCTCTCTCTCTCACATTCTAACTCTGCTTGTCAAAAAAAAAAAAAAAAAAAAGAGGAGAATGCAAGGCACAAGTGAAGTCAGATAGACAAGAATGTGTGTAAATGTTCACTGGTGCATGTTAGGGGAGGGAGTTGGAAGATAATGATTGCCTCCACAAAGCAGCAAGAGAGAGCTGGGCCTGCCTGGAGCACCAGCCAGGATTCCAGCAAGGGGTCCTAGGAGATTTCTTTCCCTCCCTTCCTGACTTCTTAAAAAGAAGTAGAAAGAGCTTCTGATTTTTGATTGTTCCCTCTAAAAAGAGTACCATATATTAAACATCTCCCTCCAAAGCCATGAACCTCCATCCTAGCCAATAGCCTCTAAGACTTGGCTGTACTTGATAGACAAGACTTGAGAATTTAGATTAGACAGGAAAGGTTGCATTTGAGAGTGTTTAAGGAAAGAAGATGGAGGGGTTATGAGTACGTTGTCAAAGAGCATGAAGTTTGCGGTAGCAATGTAGGAATGGAAGACTGCCCTGAAGATATGACTCCTTGGGGGTCCAAGCTCAGAGCAGCTGCTAAGCCTGTAATCCAGCCTCCACTAAAGGTGGAGGCAATTATTCCAGTCATCTAGGGGGAGAGGGAGCTATTGAATTACTAGAATGATTAGCTCTACTTTCTTTGTTGTTTGTAGAGAACAATCTGGTCTGCTTGTGTCAATGTGTGCCACATTGCTGGGCTAGAGCTGCCTCCTAAATCCTTGACTTCTTCAGTAAAACACAATAGTCAGTGTTTTTCCTGGCCACATGGAGGCCTTGGCAAGATCTCTTTGGTACTTCTGAAACCGAAGCTTTTCACCACTTTTCTCTTTCAATCAATGGCTTAGGGAGCAACATGGGAAATTTCTTTTGAGGAGAAAATGGCTACTTAGTGTCTCATGTCATTCCCAAGTCACAGTAGATTCCTGCAGATTGGGAGTGGTTTCGAATCATTCTGACTGAGGGTAGGGGGCTGAACAGGATGACCTTTGAGCTCCCAAAATGTGAGGAAGCAGGTGGACTGTCTAAGGGGTGGGTCCTACCCCATGTTTGTAACTCCGTGTGGATTGGATATGTGTACACCCCAGATCAGCCTTGATGCCAAGAAGGGCCTTTGAAAGAAGGGGTAGGGGTTCTGTGGTCAGCTGTTCCTCTGAGAAACACTCACAAAGATGTTTTCTGTTTCAGGCAGAACCATGTCTCCAGAGACCACAGGGGTTTCAAGACAACTGAATGCAAGATAGGAAAGCAGATATCTTGGAGAAGTTAGACTGTGCATCCCCTCTGGGACTTGTCTGTACAGCACATTATTGACTTCAAGGCAAGAGGCCACGAAAGTGTCTTTCCTTAAGACAGTAAACTCTCTGTTTTCTTTCTAAAGTGATGGAAAAAAGGGCTGTTTTTGTTCCCTATATCAGTTTCCAGAAATGAGTGTATTGTACAATGTGCTTCAAACTACAATGCTACAGAATATGATGTACTATTACTTAGATGATTCAGAAGCTCCTCTGGGATCTTGTTAATATAAATAGTAAGTATTTTGTGCTGCAGCTGGTGGAAGAGTTGTTTCTCAGTGACTTCTAGTGGAGAGTCAGAAAAAATAAAAGTCTTTCCCTGTTGCAATATATTTTAGACCAGCCAATGAAGCAAGTGGACTTACCTATAACTGTCAAGGGATGGTAGCAGATGTCGGGAGAATAAAGAAATGTAAGTTGTGGACTCATTGGTTGCAAATAGTTACATCTACGCAAGTTCTTTGTCAGAACTTAAGACTAGAACTAGAAGTATTTGGGGCCCACAATGTCCTCTCCACCTGCCTTCCCCTACGCTGCAGAGATCGGTGAAGCGAATACCACATGTCCCAGACCGCCTGCACTCCGGGTTCTGGAAATGATTTAAATCTAGACATTACACTACACTTGGGCAAAGCTGGGAAGGGGAAAATGAGGTAGATGTCATACTTTTGCTGTTTCTGCTTTGTTTTGTAATTGGTCATGGAGACACCTGTGTTTTCTGTGGTGACATTAGAAGTTTGTGGGTGTCAAGGGATGATCACAGGGATCTCGTTCTGCAGGTGAGGATTAAAAGATATCTGGCTGGGTACAGAGCCAGCTTCCTGTCCCTGTGAGCTTTCCTCACTGTGGTGGCTTCCTGACTTTGACAGCTGTGCCGTAGTTTAGGAGGTGGCTGGTGGTTAATCTTGGGTGATCCAGCAGTTCTTTTGTTAACTCAGCTCTGCTCTGTGGCTTTGGGAGCTGTTTCTGAAATCCCAACCTTAGTCTGTTTTCTTGGCTCTTCCATGATTCTGTGATCTTTTTTAATGCCTTATAATATTCCCTTCACACTTACACTGGCTAGAATGGCTTATATTCTCTGCAATTGAATCCTGACTATGTCTGGTGTTGGTGCCAGGAGAGTTATAGGCAATGGACTCTAAATTTTTTTTTTTTTTGAAATCTGGATTTGTTTTTTTCTGACTTGATTGGTTTTTGAAAGGAGAAATGATTAAGTCAAAATTGGATGACATGCAGTGGCAGAATAATTACTTAAGACATCATCCACTGGTCACTCGGAATGAAGTGTCTAGGGAAGACAAGGCTTAGGTGGACTGAATGCCTGCTGATCATTATGGTGAGAGTGAAGAATACAAGGAAAGTGGAGTCAGGTGGCTGTTTTATGTACAGTGGAGAAGTTTAAGAAAGAAAATGATGTGCTAAGGATGTCCATTTTATTGGTCTTAGGAATGATCAGAGAACCAAGGACCTTTTATGATGTTTTAGAGGGATCATTGATTTCACATAGCTCAAGAAAGCTGTAAATGAATTCTATACAAATGCAATTTGATCCTGTGGGTTGATTATTATCTGGGCCGGCGCCGGCGGCTCACTAGGCTAATCCTCCGCCTAGTGGTGCCGGCACACCGGGTTCTAGTCCTGGTTGGGGTGCCGGATTCTGTCCCGGTTGCCCCTCTTCCAGGCCAGCTCTCTGCTGTGGCCAGGGAGTGCAGTGGAGGATGGCGCAGGTGCTTGGGCCCTGCACCCCATGGGAGACCAGGAAAAGCACCTGGCTCCTGGCTCCTGCCATCGGATCAGCGCCGTGCGCCGGCCGCAGTGCGCCGGCCACGGTGGCCATTGGAGGGTGAACCAACGGCAAAAGGAAGACCTTTCTTTCTGTCTCTCTCTCTCACTGTCCACTCTGCCTGTCAAAAAAATAAAAAAAAGAAAGAAAGAAAATATTATCTGAACTCATAGCACCAGTAAGTCTGTTATGTGAAAGTTTAGGAGTTGACTGGGAAAGAGTGGAACTTCAAAACTGAAATGGGGTCATTTGGGTAGCTTCAACTGAACCTGAGTATTCAGATTCCTCAAACTCCATTGAACATCCCTTGCCAGTAGAAGTACCTTCTACTCCCCTCTTTGATGAGGCTGGTCCAGCATTACCTGGAGACTCCACCATTCATTATTCTAGACTTACAAATAGAGTCAAGCCTGAGTACACTTCAGAAGCACAAGTACAATGTTTATCTTACAAGGCAAAGGTTTATATAACAAAAGAACAGTAAGACGTTTCAAATGTATATCAGCAAAAACCTGGGGAGTAGATGTCGGAATGGATTACAAGAATCTAGGTCACATAAGAAGAATCAATATTTTAAATCTGTCTTGATTTGGTGATATGGGTATATTTTCAAAAGATTCTGGATTTATTATTTGAGTAGGCGCAACTGGGAATTATTATAACTCTGACATATTTGGAAGAAAATTGAGGTGTCAGAAATCTATAGGATAATATATGGTGAGGAAATCAAAGTTAAGAGAAAGGATTATTGAAATATGAATTTCACATATGACCCAGTCACTACCAAGGACACTGTGTTCCCCAAATAATTGAAAACACAATTGTGAGAAACATACTTAAAACGAATTGCAGCTGAATCCTCTGTAGGTTGGGGTAAAGGCAGGGGATGCTGTTGAAATGGTCATGTTGAGAACATGAGTCTGTTGAGATGCTGGAGTAGCAAAGGACCAATAACAATACCAATGCCAGAAGCAAGGCAGAAGCAGGACCAGAGGGTCACTGCATCTTCACTGGTGGATAATTTGAGTTTCTAGGAATGAGTAGATGACAAGTCTACCACGATATCTGTCTATCTATCACTATGTCTGATTCTATAAATCAACTATTCAATCATATATAATTCCGGAAAATATAGGCGTAATTTTAATTGTAATGGTGGAAAATCATAGACCTTCATCCAACTTCCAGACCTATGGAGTTTATTAACCTGGGCCACTGAATGAAGAGGAAGCCTGGACTCTGATATTCTACCAAGAATGCAGTGTAAATTTTCCTCTTAACCTTCCTCAAAGAAACTTGCAGCTCTTTAATAACTCAATTCTACGCTGGAAAAAAAATCAAGACTTTTGAGGGTTTACTGGATTCTAACTTTCATAACATTAATCCCCTAAGACCCAGAAAACACTGTGGTTCTCTAGAAGTGAGAAATGGAATTTGGGCCTCAGTGGTCCCAGTGCGTTTCTGAAGTCATGTTGTGATTATTTCCTGAACTCTTGAATGTATTGTTGGAGTAGATGTTTCAGCATTTGGAGAATTGCCACAATGCATTTGTGGAATAACGACTGTTAACTATGAAGACACAAGGGGAAGCTGGAATTACCTCTCCCTATCAAATAGTAGACAACAAAATAGTATAACCTTGAGGAGCCCACAGAGATTCCTGCCATTGTAGGAGGTTTAAAAAGGTGCAGGAATGGTGACTTCTCGCATAATCTAATTAACTCACCTCTTTGGTCTATACAGGAAAACTATGAGTCTTGGAGATTGACAGTATATTACTGTAATGGTAATCAGACAAGGACTGCAATTGTATTCGTTGTTCTACCCATCAAATTAACATAGCTTCTGACACCTGATATGAAGCTACGAAATGACAAGTACTTCCTTTCCTACCTGCCACACTCTGCCCCTTGTTCTAGTTAGTACAGAACAGCAGAATTTGGTATCATTTACCACATGGAGGTAGTGGTATCTCATCTGGGCTATGTGAGCTTCAGATTCCCAGTGGTAGTTTTGTTGCTGGGATATTGATCATCACAGCACGCTGTAGAACACCCGACTAGTCTACCATATTAATGCCATTTTTCTATTTGGCCTGATGAAAGAAATAGCATGTGTTCTTGGTAAGAAGCATACACGACAGAGGAGATTTTAAAAACTATAAAAATGTAAGTATCAGTCACCTTAGTAAAGTTTATGGAAGGTCAATGCTTTGGAGCCTTTAGAGGTGGTCCTTGCAAAGTGAAGTAGTTGCTGTACATCCTACTAAGGAAGAGCACAAGCGTGGCGGGTCTCTCTTGGCTTTTGGAGAGTGTATACCACGTTTGGATGTACTGCTCAGACCCATTGACTGAGTGGCCTGTAAGGCTGCTAGGTTTGAGTAGGGCACAGAGTATGGCAAGGTCTTTTTTTTTCTTTCTTTTTTGACAGGCAGAGTGGACAGTGAGAGAGAGAGACAGAGAGAAAGGTCTTCCTTTTGCCTTTGGTTCACCCTCCAACGGCCACCGTGGCCGGCGCGCTGCAGCCGGCGCACCGCACTGATCCGATGGCAAGAGCCAGGTGCTTCTCCTGGTCTCCCATGGGGTACAGGGCCCAAGCACTTGGGCCATCCTCCACTGCACTCCCGGGCCACAGCAGAGAGCTGGCCTGGAAGAGGGGCAACTGGGACAGAATCCGGCGCCCTGACCGGGACTAGAACCCGGTGTGCCAGCACCGCAGGCGGAAGATTAGCCTATTGAGCCGCGGCGCCGACCAGGCAAGATCTTTCAGATGGTCCAAGCTGCGGAGCCAGTGGCACTGCCATTTGGTTCTAACAACTCAGCTGATCCAATGTTGGCTGAAGTGTGGATATCAGATGAGGTTGGAACCTGTAGCAAGTCTCTACAGGGGAATTCCAGTGAGGTTGCATAGGATCGGGAAGCAAAGTCATGCCTTATTTGTGAGTTGATTATCCTTCCCTTAAGAAATAGGCCTGGCTTGCATCTCATGAGCTGTCCCTCATGAATTGGGTGTTATCTGATTACTCATGGTACAAGAATGGATCTTCATCTTTGTTCCTCAACACTTCATGGTTAAGTGGTTTAAAAGCATAGTGCATTGCATGAGCAGAGGGCTAACCCTCCCAAGGCATAACCTACTGCTACATCACCCTCTCAGTCAATACTTGTATGTTCTTGGGAAGGATGCAATGAACAGGTTACCTGGGAAAGAAAAAAATCAATCCTGATTTTTGGATGCATCTCCATGATATGCTTGCGTCAGATGGAAGTCAACAGACATAGCAACATCGTCCCACTCAGCACTGACCTTGAAGTGCAATGGAGGAAAGAAAACATCTCTACAGGCAGAGCTTGTCAATGTGGCCTGAAAATAAAGATGTTCAGAGGTCCAGGTCAATGCAGATTTATTGGTAAAGGATAATGAGCACTGGATTAGCCCAATGCTCAGGACTGAAAGAAAAAATACAAGAAGGACAGGGAAAGAGGTAAGTGAGTGAAACTTGCAGGGTGGGCCAAGAATACGAATATATGTGTAACCCGTATGTTTGTTCACAATAGGAATATAGTGAGGAGAAGTGGCTAAAAAATAAATTGGACATATAAATTTGACCTGTTTTGTGAATGTCTGTAAATATTTCTATCCCATCTGAAAGACTGTTTCTTCACAATTAGATCCAGGATTATTGGCAGGAATACCACCTAATCAAGGCTATGTATTTCTCTCTCTTTTTTTTTTTTTAATTTGACAGATAGAGTTAGACAGTGAGGGAGAGAGACAGAGATAAAGATCTTCCTTCCCTTGGTTCACCCCCCAAATGGCTGCTAAGGCCGGAGCTACACTGTTCCAAAGCCAGGAGCCAGGTGCTTCTCCTGGTCTCCCATGGGGTGCAGGGCCCAAGCACTTGGGCCATCCTCCACTGCCCTCCCGGGCCACTGCAGAGAGCTGGCCTGGAAGAGGGGCAACAGGGACAGAATCCGGCGCCCCAACCAGGACTAGAACCCGGGGTGCCGGCGCCGCAGGCGGAGGATTAGCCTAGTGAGCCATGGTGCTGGCCTTCCCTCCCACTTTTACAAGCGGTCTATAGCAGATGGTCCTTTTTATGCTGGAGAGTCTCATGGAGGGGTTGTGACTACACTAGAAAGGAATGAGGTTATCCAGAGACAGACACGGAGATGTAGGGGACTTTGGGTGTTTCCTTTTGAGGAGAGATGAGTGCGTTTTTCTTTTTCTGGTGTGAAAGACAGTTATATTATTATTGGTTGGAGGTATAAATACAGGCCACACTAGCAAGAAGCTGAAAGGGAAGTGGAGCAGCTGCCGGGACTCAAAGCCATGGTCTGATATGGGATTCAAGCGGTGGCTTAACCCACGGTGCCACAAAGCCAGCCCCTGCGGGCTGAGGGAGGAGACACTCTTTGTCTTCCTCCCCATCTCTTACTGTGCATTCCTCCTCACTTCTTCTCCTGCCTTTGCCTAACAGCAGATGAAGTTTCCATGTGGGCCCACTGTGGCACTAACACCAGCCTAGTGAGTGTGACTGATCCAGCTTTCTCTTGCCAGGCTCTGTGTGGAGCACTCTGGGTTGGTTACCTCATTCACTCCTCCCGGCAGCCCACCAGGAGGAGATGCATGCGTGGGTGATGAGCCAGGTCTGATAAGGTGTTTAATTGCTCCATTGTGTCCTTTGCTAGCACTCCAAATAATAAACTTATTGGTCAGGTATTTTCAATTTTTTAAAATAGTTGACTTCAAATATGCTGGCCAATATGATGCTGGCTGCCAAAAAGAACCAGCGAGCAGACTATAGGGAATTGAAGCTATGCTTTATTAGCATCATTTTTTTTTTTATCTTTTCCCTATGCAGTAATTACTGGTGGCAAATGGAAGTCCTGGAAGCTGTTGTTTCGTATTGAAATTTAACTGCTGCCTTCCCCACAGCAAAACAGAAACTGGTGAGATGGAGCCAGGATGAGTAAGAGTGTAAGAGGTAGGAAGAAGCTAAGTTTAAAGTTCAGCTTCTTTTGATAGGTTCAGTATTTTATTTTATTTTATTATTTTATGGAACAGAGAGAGAGCAGCATATTGACCACGTGCTACTTCCTCTTAGGCACTCAGTCCATACTTAAAAAAAATTTCATTTATTTAGTTGAGAGGTAGAGTTACAGACAGAGAAAGGGAGATACAGAGAGAAAGGATTTCCATCTGCTGGTTCACTCCCCAAATGGCCACAACGGCCAGAGCTGGGCCAATCTGAAGCCAGGAGCCAGGAGCCAGGAGCTTCCTCTGGGTCTCCCAGATGGGTGCAGAGGCTGAAGCACTTGGGTCATCTCCTGCTTTCCCAGGCCATTAGCAGAGAGCTGAATAGAAAGAGGAGCAGCCAGGACTTGAACCAGCATCTATATGGGATGCTGATTGCATGGGGAGACTTAGCCCACTATACCATAGCACCGGCCCTCTGTTGGGGTTAGTATTAATCATTGTTCTCAATGATTAATAATTCTACAAGAAAGAGAAAGCACCAAGGCTCTGTGTTGTATATGCAGTCCCCCAGGCAATCCCTCCAGGCTGTCTCTGGAAGGCCCAGCTGAGTTGGAGCAAGTGAATCAGGAGGGGGGAGAAGACCCATGGAGGTGGGGAGTTTTGTGTTTGTCTTCTCTTCCTCCTGGAGTGTAAGTTACCTGTACCTTCTCACTGCTGTCATGACCCCCATGTGTGCAGAGTTCCCCAAATTTCCTCTGCTTCCCAGGTAAACTCCTGAAGGTTGCTTTCAAAGTCAGCCTCTCAAGGGCTCTGGGGACTGGCAAATGTTCCATGATCAGGTGGCCCTGTGTTCACATGGGGACACAGAGCCAACTCACTCGGGCAGGAGGGCACTGAGGGAGCACAGTCTTGCATCAGATGCTGAAGGGCTTTCATCATGTTGCTCTGACAATGAGGCTGGAACAATCACAGCTGAAAACTGATGCAACAGGACGGAAGGGGCTGGGAGCACCGGGAGTTAAGTCACCCTTGCAAGAGGGAGGGCAGAGAGGAAGACTAACAACAATGTCCGGAAGCATCGAATTTAAATTACCAGCTGCTTGTTACTAGAGAACATCCCACATATGGGGGGGAGGGAGGGAGGGAGAGAGGGAGAGAGAGTGAGAGAGTGAGAGAGAGAACGAGTGTACAAGCATGAGAGAGAGAGAGCAAACTCTCATCCTTTAGTTCATTCCCCAAAAGCATAGGATGGCTTGGGCTGGGCCAGGCCAAAGCTAGAAGCCAGGAATTCAATCCAGGCTTCCCATGCAGGTGGCAGGACTCCAGTTTCTGGAATCATCACTGCTGCCCCCCAGGATCTGCATTCGCAGGAAGCTGGAGTGAGGAGCCAGAGCTGGGAATTGAACCCATGCACTCTGATGTGGGATGCCGTGTCTTGACTGCTAGGCTAAATGTTCACTCCGCAGTATCTTTTAAGATGCCCTCGGAGGGAACATAACTTAGTCATTTAGAGGAAAGCGATGAGGGGTGTTAGAGATTCATCAGAATCCCAGCCTTTCTTAGTTTGATTAACATGGACAAGGTCTGGAACACGTTTGTTGTTATTAACTTGTAAATGAAACCTTTTTTTTTTTTTTTAAATAACAACTTAGTATAGTGGGATGAAGAATGACCCCCAAAGATCCCTGATTCTAACTGTTGGAACCTGTGAATGTTACCATGTTTCAAAAGTGTCTTTGCAGGTGTGATAACGTAGGAGTTCTCAGGATGGAGACGTTATCCTGCATCATCTGGTGGGATGAGAAGGCAGTCCTTTCAAGAGGGAAGCAGAGCGAGATTGGACACACACAGAAGAGAAGGCTGTGATGACAGAGGCAGAGACAGGAGCAAAGTGGCCACAAGTCAAAGAAAGGCAGCAGTCACCAGAAACTGGAAGGGACAAGGAACAGGCTCTGTCTGCCCTGGAGCCTCTGGGGGGAGCATGGCCCTGCTCACCCCTTGACTTTGGCCCAGTGACATTGAGTTCAGACTTTGGGCCTACAGAATTGAGAGAATAAATTCCTGTTACAGGAGCCAGTGATTCTGTGGTCATTTGTTACCACAGCCATAGGAAACCAATGCACTTACTTAATTCAACTCTAGTGATTAGATTGCTTCAGGGAGACAGAAGAGTTACCAGGGCTTTTCAGTGGCGGGTGGGAAGGAGTGAGAAAAGGAGGTGAAGGAAACCCTCTGGTTTACTCTGTGCACTTCCCTATTGTTCCAGTCTTTTACAAGGGAATGAATTCGTGTGCTATTTTAAAAATATTAAATTACAGCAGAATAATTTAACATATCTCCAAAGTAATTTAGAACACGGAGTGGCTGCACAGCCTTAGTGGGATTTCCTAGTGGGTTCCCAGAATGCAGTCCTGGATATGTGGGATTGACTGTTCCCCAGCCCAGCTCTTGATGTCAGGGTTTCATGATCAGATGCCAATGTCAGACTACAGCGAATTGTGTGAGTCTTAGCCATATGCCTAAGCTGTTGTTTCAGATTTCTAAACACTAACACAAGCTCCTTCCTTCTTCTCTTCCTTCCTCTTTGCCTTCCTTCTATAACAAATGTAGGACTGTGTTAGGCAGCATGTGGGGTATAAAGAACACACACGCAACTTTTGCTTTTAAGAAAATTACAAGTTGGCTTGGGAAATAAGACAAAAACCAAGGAAGCAGATGATCTGTTCTATGATATCACACCATAAGCCCAATTTGTATGTGATTAAAAACCAGTAAGATGTGTTGTGGGGTGTCACTATGGATGCAGACTTCAATAGCACTGACATCCAAGGGTAAATAAAAACAGAGCTCTTTCCAACTCCTCTACTCCCTTCCACAATTTTTCTGATTGGCTGTTTCAGTATTAGTTCCCACCATTCTCAAATTGTTACTGTGAAATCAACTGGCAGATGTTTATCCTTAACGTAAGTGTGAATGGAGTCCTACCGAGTGATTTTGCCAATAGTTCCCATTCCTGCTGCAAAATGTGTGTGCTCAGACTTAAGCTACAACATGTCCACACTCACCTGTCTCCTGAGAATAGCTCTTGGAATGTAGAGTGCCTAATATTCTTTTTGTTTTATTTTTATAGATTAATTCATTTGAATGGGAGAGAGAGAAAGAGAGAGAAGAGAAAGTAAGTCAGGCCTGGCCAGCCTGAAGACAGGAGCCAGGAACTCCACCTGGGTCTCCCATGTGGCAGATTCTCAAGTACTTGGCCATCTTCTGCTGCGATCCCAGGTGCATTAGCAGGAAGGAAGCTGGATCAGAAGTGGAGTAGCCGGGACTTGAACCAGCATTTTGTTAAGGGATGCCAGCACAGAAAGCAGTGGCTTAACCCACTGTGTCACAACATTGGTCCCAGTGTGCCCAATATCATGCCAATGAGAGTCAGGGTCAGGAGTTGAACCAAGCATGTCTGCAGGCTTAAGCACTGCCCTAAAGAAAGGGAAGGGAAACCACCCCTATTAAGTAACTGCTTGTATCAAGCACTCTGGGAAGCACTTTCACACTCATTATTTTATTTAATTTTCATGACAGTACTTAGAAATAGCTATTATAATCCCTAATTCTGCAGGTGGGAAGAAAATGGAGGATCGGAGAGGATAGTTACCCAAGGTAACTTACCTTGGTAAGTTACCCAAGGTCACATGGTAGTACATAGCTGTAGAGCTAGGACTCTATCCCAGATCTTTCTGGCTCCAAGGCTCATGCCTCTTCCATGATTTCAGGTGATAAGGAATAAAGTCCTTCAAGACATAGTGCTGGGAGACTACTAAAAATGGTCCTTGGAGTTCCTGGGGATATGCACCCTCTGCCTGGCTCCACTTTCGGCTTGTGTTGGTCACAGTTCCACTCTCACCTTTCCGCCCGGTTCCTGTCATCTCCCTCTGGGATCCTTTCCTCCCCCTGGTCTCCCTTTCCTCCCACCCTTCAGCCCTTCAGTAATCTCATTTTAAATTTCCATCCGTGATTTCATGAGCTTTCCTGCTCTCTCCTGATGTGTTCCTTGCTAACATTGTAATCGGTGTCAGAGTGGTGTGGTAATGGGTGTTTCTGTTTTTCATGTCCACTCTGAATTTCCTGAGGGCAGGAGCCACATCCCTGCTTTTCATCTTTGTTTCTCTCAGGTTTGTGTGCATGGAGCAGGCAATCAGCAAGTATTTCTCAACTTGAATCCCCTCTGGTTGTCCACCAGTGTCCACTGCAGCTTCTCCTCTGCTCCCTAAGTCTGTATGGCTTCAGTGCCAACCCTCCCCTGGTTCCCACCTTTGCTATCCAAATACCAGATCCCAAGTTCAGAGGGAAGTCAATGACTAAGACTTCTGCCACTGTGACAAAGGCTATAATTATGCTGTGCAGCACAGTAGCCACGAGCCACATGCAGCTACTGAGCATGTGAGACACAGCTAACATGACAGAATAACTGACTTTTAATGTAATTTCATCGGGGCTGGTGCTGTGGCATAGTAGGCTAAGCCTCTGCCTGCTGTGCTGGCATCCTATATGGGCAACGGTTCATGTCCTGGCTGCTTCTCTTCTGATCCAGCTCTCTATTATGGCCTGGGAAAGCAGTAGAAGATGGTCCAAGTGCTTGGGTCCTGCATCCATGTGGGAGATCTGGAAGAAGCTCCTGGCTCCCGGCTTCGGATCAATCCAGTTGTGGCCATTGAGGCCAACTGGGGAGTAAACCAACAGATGGAAGGCCTCTCTCTCTGTCTCTCCCTTTCTCTGTCTGTAACTCTACCTCTCAAAGAAATACAATCTTTTAAAAATTTTTAATTTCTTCTTAAATAAAATTATTTCATTGATTAAAAATTATTATTAAAGTTAATTTAAATTTAAAGAACTAACTAGTGTATCAGGATAGCTCTGCTACCCAAACATGGAACAAACAAGTTCCTCAACCTGAAGTCAAAACTGGTTAACTGGCTTGTGCAAAAACTCCATGGAAGTATATTCTTGAGTTTACAAAAATGAAGTCAGATGGAAAGGCGTGCAGTTCGTTTCCAGGCAGGTCATGGCTCACATGTATTCTCAAATTGTCTTCCGCAAGTGTCATGCAATCAATCCACATATTAGCGAATAGACACCACCCATTCAGTACTGGGTGGCAGCTCCTTTACAATAATGTTCACATCTCTAGGGGAGCACAGGGGAGATGCCTGAGTGGTCTGTTATTGAATCATCCTAAAGTCCTTTCGAAGACATGAAGGTGCCCACTGGGAAAAAAAAAATGCTTCTTTTTTTCTCTCCCTTCATTTCTGTCAAATTTAATTTTATTGTTTTCTTTTCCTGAAAATCTGGTAGCTGTCAAGAAGGCATCGCTGGAAGTCAAATTTGTCATTTTATCTTTGGCATTCGAGGAACTTTGATTTTTCTGTCTAGAAGTAATGCATCTCCACTTAGGGGACAGCTGAGTGAGAACCTACTCCTGAAACAAGATTTGTTCTGCTGGCTTCCTTCAATTTGTCAAAAAGACAAAAATCTCACCAGGCTCCATTGGTAATAATGCCTTGAAATTACTTGGAGTCATCTTCCACCTGCTTTTCTAGTCTATTATCTAAAATATGTGGTAGGGCAGAAGAAAATGAACACATTTACAGCTGAACGTGCTGCTTGTATTGTCAAAGCTAATGATTTTAGGCAAGGTGTTTAACCTTTGATTAAAGTGATCAGCGCCTATGAGCATAAACGGTGGAGTTTCACAAGTCTTTTTCCTAAGAGAGTCCTAAATTTAACCCTTGCACATGTGGACACTGTTAATGAAGATAGGAGGCCTGACTTAAGCTAGGACTACCCTTCAAAATAGAAAGGTGAATGCCACATTTATTAACGAGATTTCTTGAGGTTCTTCTCTGTTCTACCAAGTAAGAGAGACATTTTTCAAAAATCCCTGTTTTTCAGAAAGGGAAACTGAGACCAGCAATCAATTAAGGACATCACTGTCTCAACACATGTGGGTATCAGTTGTGTGGAATATTCAGCATAACCTTCAAGCCTTCTAAATCCCAGTACCATCTTCAAAGCACATAAGGCATTTTGTCAGGCTAGCCATGTGCTCCTGACATAGAACTGATGGCTAAACTGCTTGTGTATTTGATATTTATAATGGAAAAGGAGAAACCAGGAAAAGATTTTTTGTTATCTTAGCAAAGTTCGTCAAATAGAAAAAGGTGACTCATCTTTGCCCTGGAAATGTGACCAACATTGCTGTCTCTCTGGACCCCTCAACTTTGATCTTTCTTATGGGAAGATTCAGTATGACAGTGCTACTGCTGGGCAGCTCAAGTTCATTGTCACCAAGAAGGTCTCCTGGAGCATACACGTGTCAGGTAACTGAGAAGCAATAGTGTTAGAGATGGAACATAAAGATTCCATAAACATAGAGAATGCTTGATTCAAGGTAAGTACAGTCCATCCAAATTAGAACTACCTTTTAGCTACAGTGGCTCTTGACCTGGGAATGTACTTCCCCGAGGATATTTAAAAATGCATGAGGGCATTAGTTGTCACAGCAACAGGGATGAGAAAGTAGGAAGTGAGGAGAGGTGATGGGGAAGTTTGGGAAGGACCCTACCAGCATTTGGTGTCCAGGGGTCAGGGATGCTAAATTCTGGCAGTCCTCAGGGCAGTCCCACCTAAGGAATTGCCTCACCAGAAATGCTGATAATACCTGGACTGAGAAATACTGGAAGGGGGAGGTATTATATATAAAATATTCATAATTTTATATATACACATATATTTACCATGTACCAGGCATTAGGTATATTAGATGATAAAGAAACATATTTGCCCTAAAGAAGCACATAGTTGACTGGGGACAGAGCACATTCAGCCATGACAGTAATAACCCAGGAGGCAAGGAGAAGGTGGGCACAGTGGTCTGGGGGTGCAAGGGCAGTTAGGGTAGGAAGGTGGGGTTTTCAGGTGAGGAAGAGCATCTGTCATTAACACCTGGAGGTCAGAGGACCCCATCCCTTGGGGGTGATGCAAGGAGCTTGATCTGTTCTCACTTCCGTTCTGACCTGAGTGGGGACTGGGGATTAGGATGAGAGGGAAACAGGGGTGTGGTAATGCAGGGCCCTGAGAACCTGTGTGGGAGTTTGGACTTTGTCCTAGAGCCTTGAGAAGCCTCACTACTTCAACTGAGGGAGTCACAGGACAAAAAAAAAAAAAAAAAAGGCAGAGCTGGTACGATAGGATTGAGAGTTTGTTACAGTCATCATTGTCACCCACTTCAGACACTGGACAAGTCCACCGAGGGCCACCCTCTCTGTGGATCTCTGCGTGAGATGGTCCTGCTCCTGTGTGGTCACGAAGGCCTCTGTCACCTGCATGGCCTGATCACCGCCCCGGTCATCACCCCCCTGGCAAGGAGGTGCCCTTGCCAGGAGAGACCTCTTGCTGTGCTTTTGAGATCACAGAGCAGCTGGGAGACTGGAATGACATGAAAGACTGACTATAGGAGAAGACTACTGCAGACCAAAGACTAGATCTGGGTTGGAATTCCAACTTCACCGTTGGTTCACTTTGGGACCTCAGGTGAGTTGTTGAATCTCAATTTTCTCATCTGTGGAGTGGGATGATGCTAATGCCTGTCTCATGGTGGGGGTTATAAATATCAGATGAATTAATACACACGAAGAACCCAGTACTCCAGAAACATTAGCGATCATTCTAGCAAAGAGCCAAGCATGGTTCAGAGTCATTAGTTCAAAGGTTGAGCATATGTCCTCTGGAGCCATACTGTTGAGTTTAAAAATGTAGCCCTTAGACTTGTGACAGTGGACAACCTATTTAGACTCACTCCACCTGGCTTTCCTTGTTAATAAAACAGGGCAAGTTGATGGCCTTTTAGAGGGCTGACACGACTTGATTTTAACCATGTAACCTGTCATGACAGCCCTTGGCTTAAAGTAAGCTCTCATAAATATCAGCTATTGTTTCAATGGAGTAAGCCAGACAAGCGAATGGGAAGAAAGTCGGATTCTAGACTTCGAAGGACGAGAGAGTGCTTTACAATGACAGAGGGGGAAGGGAAGCTAGATTGTTTAAATGCTTAATAAGTATCAGGCATTATCATTGAAGGCATTCTTTGGAAGGTTAGAGAAAACAAGGTACCTCAATGCCCACTGTAGATTGTTGCTTCTTTCTCCCTATTTTTGCGGCTAATTTTCAGAATGTAAGTCGTTTGCTCAGGATCACGTGACAGGCGATGGCCCCAGGAGTGTCTGACTCTACATCTTTGTTCTTGTTTTCCACCTTGCTGAGTCCAGCTGCGTGGAGAAGGGAGATGATCCTCCAGGGGTGTAGAAACAACTCCAGGGGAGTCAGAACGGGTGCCTGATTCCCACGCCCAAGCTTTCCCTCGGCTGAAGACACTGGGTGCCGGCCTCTACATGACCACCAGGTGTCAGTGCTAACAAGGAATTCGTCCACTGGGCTTTGCTTCAGAGATAAGTCAGGGCGCCCCGAGGCCTTCTCCCACAAGGAGCACGGCAGATTTGGCCATCCAGGGAAGTTTCTTGTGATGTATTTCTATCTCCTTTTCCCCCCATTAGATTGTAAGTCCCTTGAACCTGTCTTTCGATAGTGTTGCCCGGTGTCTATGATCACCTGCCCTGTGTGTGCATGGTCACCCAGGCTCAAAGTGTCTGTGGCAAGGTAGATGAGGAACTGAGCCTGTAGGAGGGTGGCACACTTCCCTGAGCTCACAGTTACCAGGCAGCAGAGGCTGGATTCAAACCCAGCCCGTCTGAGGCCAGAGTTGGGACTTGCACCCGCAGCACTTCTCGTCTCCACAGCCTCCACAGCTGCGGGCTCAGTGCTCAGCACGTTTGCAGCACCCAGCGAACGCATGTTGATGTTTGGTCGGTGGGTAAACCCAGCACTATGATCTTATTCTCTGCAGAGGAGATGCAGCTGCCTGGGTCCGAGACAGCAAGGGGGAGAGACAGGTGGGAAGCACTTCGTGCAATCAACAGAGGGCAGAGGATCACAGGGAGAGGAGGAGGTGGAGCCATCTCTTGATGGAGGCGAGAACAGAGCTCCAGCAGCTTTACAGGCCACCTGCAGACTCCTGCCGGCCTGGGAAGGAGCTGCTAGGATAGCTCCTCCCAGACCTCCACCCTCCTCCGCCTCCCCACGCATGTGAGCATTCGGCACTGGAGAGTGACTCCAACTGTGGAGATTTTTCAATGACTCATGAAACTGTAGGCCCACGCTGCACCGTGGATCATTTGCTTCCCTCCGGTGGCAGGATCTCTCCCTCTCTCCCGACAGTGCCACACGCGAGAGCGTGTACGCAGAAGCGACGGTGCCATCAGCAATAACCACGGCCAGGTGAGAGTGGAAACCCGCTTCCCAGCTGCCAGCCAGCCGCCAGTGCCCTGATTACCAGCCCTGAGAACACAGGTTATCCATTGCGTGCGCGCTGGGCCTCAGCTAAGTACCACCCAGTCAAACCATCGTGAAGCTCCAGGAGCCCAAAGGAGGCTTAGAGACCTGAGGTTACAGTCTTGGACGGACAGTGCGTCAGAGGAGGGGTCTGCTTGGAACCGGAAGCTTCCGGCCACAGAGCCAGCGCGCAGGCTTCGGCCTGGGGTGGCTGCCTCTCGCTCCCTCGCGCACCAGATAGGGACGAGGAAGCGTCAGCCTGGAGTCGGAGCCTTTTTCTGTTCTGCTTAGCTCAACGCCGTGATTGCGTCCAACAGGGGCCCCGAGAGGCGGTGTTAGCGTAATCTTGGTCTTCAGTGTCCTTCTGGGTGGGAGGCAGGTGGGGAATGGTGCCCTCATTACCATGGCTAGGTTTTCCCGGATCTTTATGGGGGAGAGCTTTGAACACACCTCTACTGTTTTTGCTGTAAGCCTCCTCTCCTCTTCAGCAGGGCTTTGGTCTGAAGACAAGGCCCGACATGATTCGGGCGTGACCCTGCAGGGGCTGAGCAGCTCGGGGTGGGCCCCTCTCCTCCAGCTCCGGAGGCCATGGGGCATGGGGAGCCCCCGGCCCAACCTGGGGAGAGCCACGCCTCTGGGGAGGAAGAAGTGGGGAAAATTGCAGGGCAAAGACTAGCCAGACATAAAAGGCCGAAGCAATTTGGATTTCATGACTGAATAAATCTCAAAGGGAGATATAGGGGAGCAGAAGATTAGTCTTTGAAGACATTTGAAAAATCTTTAGAAAAAGAGCCCCAGTGAAAATTTCCCTGCTGCAGCTCTCATTTTCCTAAAATAATATTGGGAGGGGTGCATTGACGTGACTTTTCTCACTTGTCAGACTGTACTTTGACCAAGGTGGAAACTAGGATACTTATGGCAGAGAGAAACTGACCCTACTCAGGTCTGGTTCTCGAAACAGGATCTTGTTTGAAGGCACCAGGTTCAAGGGCTGGTGTTGTAGAGATTTTCTACATTCCATTTCCTTCCTTATTTAACAAGAGCCGGGCCTGGTGAGCCCGACCATAGGGTTTCCATAGGAGGTTCATGCAGGAAGAGAAGTGGGCAGCAGAAAACCCAGCCCTTCTGGAAGGAGCTGGAGAGAGAAGGGGGTGACAGGGAAGTTAGAGAAGCAAGGAGAACCCTCCGCTCCTGGGACCCCACGACCCCACACTTACTGTGCTGGGTGCCCTGAGCTGACTGGAACGTGGCTTCTGTATTTGAGCCTTGTGAGTTTGGGGGGGGTGGGGGTCAGGCTGAGGACCAGTGTGTCTGATAGGGAACAAAGGCCAGCGAGGGACGAAGAACAGAGAGAAGAGGGGAGGCAGCGGGAAGACTAGAGGATTCCATTGAAGGCTTCAATTACATTGAGGATTCCAATAGAAAGAGGCTGTTACTGATGAGACCTAAATGGGCCTGGAGGACAAATAGCTGAGTGAGGCATTCTTCGTCCTCTTGTGCTGCTAAACAAAACACCTGAGTGTGTGGTTTCTAAGCCACAGACACCTATTTCTCATAGGTTAAGGTGCTGGTAGGTTTGGCTGTTTGCTGAGGGCTCTGTCGCCTGGAGAGGAGAAATGTCGCATCCGCACGTGGTGCTCAGGGCTGGAGGACACGGGCCTCAGGGTGCACGAGGCCTCTTTAATCAGGATCCTGATCCTGTTCTTGAGGGGAGCAGCTCTCACAGCCTATCCACAACCACAAGGCCCACCTGTTAATACCCTCACGTTGGCAACAGCTGAATCAATCTAGCATGTGTAATCTATCTTCGTTTTATTTGGAAGGCAGCCTGACCCAGCCCACAGCAGACAGGACTGGGTCAGGCTGAAGCCAAGAGCCAGAAACTCAATCTGGTTCTTCCACTTGGCTGACAAGCACCCATGTACTTGCTGCCTCCTAGGGTGCGCCTTAGCAAAAAGCTGGATTGGAGGCTGAGTAGCTGGGACTTGAACCAAGCACTCTGGGATGGGATGTGGCTGTGTCCCCAAGCGGTGACTTCACAGATGAGCCGAACAGCACTCCCACACCTGAATTTTCAAAGGGACACATTCAAACCAAAATAAGGGATCTCTGCCTCTCTAAGCTCTGTGCAGAGGCATCCCATCACACCCAGAATAAAGTCCTCACACCCAATCGTTGAGGGCTTTCTAAGGCATCTCCACAGGAAGTCCTCCTTGACCATCCAGTCCCCCTCCAGGCCTGACCCAGTTTTGTTATTCTTCATGACGGTGATTACAGCTGACCCTGCGTGTCAGTGCAGGCTGCGATAACTGCCACATTTATTTTCCCCAAGTTCCGGGGCTGGAAGGGCAAGAACAGCGCCCCCTGGTGATTCTGGTAAGGGCTTCCTGGCTTGCAGACAGCGGTCTGCTCATGGCGTCCTCGCCTGGCCTTGGCTCCGCGCATGCTCAGAGATGCGTCTGTCGCAACCCACCAGTCCTCTGGGATGACGCTGAGGCCCCATCCTGAAGCCTTTTTCATTACCTCCTGAATACAGCGCCGTTGGAATGGAGAGCTTCCACCTAGGCGTGATGGGAGAGCGGGCCACAATCCAGTCCTGGGCATCCTGTACCACACGCGGAACGAGATGGCGCTCCACGGAGAGGGCTCTTTCTGTGGGTCCATCACAAGGTCCCTGAGCCCAGGACAGGTTAGGCACTCGATAAATACCTGCTAAATAAATGGAGGGGCACGTGGTAGGTTTCCCGCCCCGCTGTACTGACTTGCGAAACAGGCGCCCCGCACTGGGCATGTGTATAAGCCGTCGCCTTCGCTTCTCCAACCCGCCACAATCCTAGCGGATAGGAACACACATTGTAGTCCCTACAGAGATGAGCAACCTGCCCAGGGGCGCACAGCTCCTAGGCAAAGCCAGGATGAAGGCCTGGGCTCTCAGTTCCAGGCTGCCTTGCTGTGTAGACCCTGGAACAGTGGCTCCGGAGCTTTGGTGGGCGTCGGAAAGAGCTGGCGGGCGCTGGCCTCCTCTGTTGGGATCTGAGAATTGGCATTTCCAGGAAGTTCCCAGGGGTCCCGGGGCCACCCTTTGGGAACCACCGCGGCGGGCGCGCAAACGTTGCCTTAGGCTCGGTTTTCCTCGGCGCGCGCGCGCGCGCGGTCCCCCGGGATGGCGCTGCCTTCCGGGCTCCGCCGCTGGGCGGCAGCAGCGTCCCGGGCCCCGAGAGGCCGCCCGGCGGCTCCTCAGCGCGCCTGCCCCGGGGTTCCCACAGAGCCGGGTCTGACGGGCCCTCCGCTTCCCGTTGGCGAGGACTGCGGCCGTGGGACGGGGCCTGGCAGAGAGGGCGGGCGCTGGCAGGCCGAGGGGCCGTTTTGTTCCCTGGGAGAGGAAGCTGGGTGGTCCCGTCAGCGTCGGATTGTGCCCTGCACAAAACCGGCGCAGGGCTGCTGGGGAACCGGGCTTGACAAAGACCTTGGAGGAGGCGGCCAGGGGCTGCGGGGTCGCCTGGGCGCAGAGGCCCGGCCTCCGCGGAGGGGCCGCCAGTGCCTGCTGACGCCGTTTCCAGGGGTGACGGCGCGGGCCTCTTCCCCCTCTGGCGAGATTTTGTCCTAAACCGCTAAAGAGCCTTCCTGCGCGCCAGGGGCTGTGCGGGGGAAAAATACAAACACGAGGGTGCTACAGCAAGTTAGTGGAAAATGAAAAGTTTATGTCGGTGCACATCGTGTTTGAACATGCATTTTGCGGGAATTCGTGTGAGTGTGTGTGTGCACGCTATTTAATTCTCTGACACCGCCATTAAGGTATTGATAAAGGTATTATTAGTTGAAACACCTGTCGTTTGTGCCACGTTTAGTGGACCCTTAATTAGGGGCCGCTGCAACTTGAACAGCCCTGGATGCGTGGGAAGGTGGAACGAGACTCGGTTTGGAGATAGCAGGGCTCATCCCGTGCCCACACGCACACGGAGGCGACCCCCAGAGACCCCGAGTCAGGAGTGACGGGTGTGGATTCAGCTCACCGCGCTGTGCACCACTCTTCCTAAAGTGCTGGGCTTTAGGAAGCATGAAGCTGTTTTTGATTGAGTTATCTTAGCTTTCTAACCTACGTGCTGACTTGGGCAAGGTTGTGTTTTACTTCTTTGGCTGGGCTGCTCCTGGGCTTCAGAATAAGAATGGCTGGCTGAGGCACTGTAGTAGGTAGAGGAATTTGGGGACGGTTTTGACACGTGTTGCTGACATCTCTGCAGACAAGGCTCTCCCTAAAGCAGACCAATCATCGTTAGTGCTGGGCTGAGCTTTCAAAAGCTCTGGATTTTCTCTGCGACCACTAGAAGGCAATGCAGAGGACTTCTGGAAAAATGAATTAAAAGGAAAGTCTATTTTGGTGCAAAAGATTTTGGAAACTATGCATATGATGGGTCTTCAAAAAGGTCATGGAAAATGCATATTAAGAAAAACTGCATAGATTTTGAGTTTTTTTCCACAGAAATAAACTCCCATGAATCTTTTGAAGTATGCTGATAAGTCTGGAAGGTTCTGGCTGGCTGCTTTCCTGGACTTCTTATGAACCTACAGAGTTGCCATCTGATGGCAGGTTCATTGCCATCCCATTATTTATTTGAAAGGCGGGGAGACGGAGAAGGGACACACACACACACACACACACACGTATCCTCTATCTGCTTGTTTATTCTACAAATGCCTGCAACAACCAGGTCTGGGCTAGGCTGAAGCCAGAAGCCAGGATCTCCATCCTGGTCTCCCACGTGGGTGGCAGGAACCCAAGTCCTTGGGCGTCATCTGCTGTCAGGCCCATGTTGGACTGGAAGCACAGAGTAGCCAGGACTGGAACCAGGCACCTGAATGTGAGAGGCAGGCTTAACCAGCCACACCACAACGCCCACCCCTCACTGCCATCTTTAACGTGGCTGTGCAAATGCTGTTATTGGAAATTTATGATTTTATTTTATTCTCCTTCTGCAGTATCAGCTTGGGCCATGCTTTGCATATTGTTCAGCATTGGCTTAAAGAAAGGGTGTCCTGGGAAATAAGCCCATCCATGAAAGCTTGAGTTCCCTGAAGAGCCTGAAAAATGCCTCCTTCCAACAGCTGAAAAACGATCACTTTTAGTAGCACAATATGAAAAAAGGGTGCTTTCCCAAAAGGTGCCCCCAAATGAAAAAAATGTGTCCATCATTGCAAAACAATATGTGAGTGCCAAATTTTTCAGCCCTGTATTGGATTACAGAAATAGTTTATGTGGGACTGTGGGGAGGGTGGGAGTAAGGAGTGAGAGAAGAAAAGGAGAAAATAACGCAAAGAAAAGAAAAACAGATGTGAATCTTACTCTTTCAAACATGCATCAGTGAAACGCTACAACACAATTCTGTGAAGTCTTAAAGGTGATCATCAGGCTTTTTATATTTTAATATAATGTGTGCTTATGTCCCCAGGACAAATAACTACCAGGGAATGTCAGATCTGGACTATGTTTTAAAATGTTTTTGGCTTCAGAGAGAAATTGAAAATTGGAATGATTCCTTGTAAGACTCCCTGACACACACAAGCAGAAACTCTTCCACCTCTAATATTGAGACCAACACAAATTGAGTTCTGCATTTCACTTATATGAGGGGTTACCAGGTTAAGAAATAAAAATACAGGACGTCCCGCTCAACATCTTAAGTGCTTATACTTTACACATTGTTATTTTGTTTATACTTAAACAGGATCTGTTACTTATTGGGAATTCAAATGTAACTGGATGACCGGTAATTTATCTGACAGCCCTACTTTTGTGTGTAGAATTCAGCAAGAGGCAAAGGCTTCAGAATCGAAGGGTAAGGAAGCAGTTTGTGGGCAGTGTAAGTAGGTTATCCCGCCGCCTTCTGAGACCTGTTCCTGCTGGGAGGCAGGAGACAGGATGGGGACGTGAGATCCCATCAGGATATGAAGGGCCCAGGGGAGACCGAACAGAGGGGCCCCAGAAGGAAAGGGGCGCCTTGGAAAAGCAGGAACTTGGAACCGCTCGATGGCTTTCACAGATGCATTCCCTGCACTGCAGACCTTGGAACAGGACGCTATCCAGCCCCTCCCAGTGGACCTGCGAACGAAATCAACCCGGGATGCGCTCCGGGCTCCCTCTGGTGGCCGCTGTGAGTATCGCTCCCCCCAGACCCTGCTCGTTTGTCCCAGAAATTTCTCGGTTCCCACTCCGCCTCCCAGGACGCTGCCCGTCAGCCTCCTTCGCTCTTCCTGCCTTCTTTTCCTGTCAGCTTATTCATTTGGAGCCTGCCCTCGGCGTGACACCTACCGACTGCTCTGGCCCAGGCCGAGGCCACACAGAGCTGTGCATTGTTGCCCCAGTTCTGGGACCACCCGGGCGGGCGCAGAGCCGGATGACTGACAGCGGCCCGGGGTCAAGTGCCCAGCGGGCCGCCCGGAAGGAGGGCGTGTGTGCAGGCCCGGCGGCTGCGTCCCCACAAAGGCCCCCTCTGGCGGGAACCGGGGCCTTGCTCCAGACCCACGCAATTAACAGCACTGCGACTTCTGTTTTCCACGGGGTGCAGATAGAAGACGCAGGAAAAAGGCTTTCCCTGGCCAGGCCAGACCTTTCCCCTTAGGAAGGGGAACCTGGTTCAGTGGGCCGGGGGTGGTGGCAGGATGAGTACAGGAAGGGAGGGAGGCATATTAAACTCCCAGGATGGGATTAAAACACGCCGCAGAGTGAATTTACTCCTCAGAAACATTCCCTGAAAATCTTCCACGGTCCCTTTTGGGGGCGAATTTGAGACTGACACACGGAGGTTCTAAGCCCACGTCCAGCCATCCTGGTCACAGCGTGCCTGAGCTGCCCTAGCCCTTAACCAGGAGGGCCTCTTCCCGGTCTTCCACAGGAGACTGAGCAGGGAACGCTCGGGCCTGCCCATCCAGCCGAGGAATGCGGCCCCAGCAGAGAGCTGGCTTCCGGGGCGCTTCCCAGCACGCCCCCCAAGTCTGCTCAGGGTGGCCAGGTTGGTTTCCCCAAGTGGATTATGCAGCTAGAGATGTGTAGGCACAGTATTGGGATAGTCTGTTCCCCAGACCCTTCTAGAAAAACTGGTGCAAAGGAAGGATTCGCGCCCCCAGACACGGGCACCTGCAGAAAACAAACATCCTCACGACTTCGAGAGCTGTGAGCCCCTGAAGCCTCGTGTATCTACCATGAGCTCCTTTAAGTGCTGCGCCTCCCCGGGCGGCCGCCGGCAGTCAGGAGGTCTCCAGACACAACTTGTGTTGTGCTGTTTCTTGACCTCGCCTGCCAATTCTTTATTGAAAAGCACGCTGGGAAGTAGTCGCCCATAAGTCGTTCTTAATGAATAGAGCGGTTCACGAGCATAATGGCTGTTCCTGGAATAGCCCTGAGATCTTACTCAGCTCTTTCCACAATGGCAGTAAGTAATCGCAGAGATAAATCTACCTTATTTGAAGGTCGGACAGGAAATTACTTTTGGGGAAGAACTCGTGGTGGTATTACACTGTTCTAATCCCAGCATGGGAATGACTCCATTTATCTGAGAAACTTGAATCTGACAGGGACAAGTGAGTGGAGACGGTTACAGCCAGCATCCCCCTCCCGTTTTCAGCCCCAGTTCCAGGAGTTGCGCAGGGAGAGGGAGAGCGGCCTTCTTTTCTCAGGGCTGGCTCCCCCAGCTGGTTCTAGCCGAGATTCTGACCTGGCTACGTGGCATCCTTTCCCAGCATGCCTGAGCTCCTTGGAGTGCTTCCACGAATGGGAATTTTACTTTCCTTCAGGGAGAATAAACAGCAGCAAAGTTATGGATGTAAAACTATTTTTCTTTTTAATTGGAAATATTTCTACAAAGTAATGCTGCCCAGTCCATACTGGGTGCACACGTATGCAGAGCCTGTGCTGGGATGGTGAGTTACCCTAGGGGACCTGCTATCCATACGAAATGGTTAGTGTATATATATATATATATAAAATCACACCATGTAACAATTAACTTGACATTAATTTTGCTCTACTAGTGTCATGACAACCATGTACATTAACTTTTGTAGTGTATTTCCCAAATAGAGCCTTGACATTAAATGGTTACTCCATTTTGTAGCCTAATGTTAGGTTTTCTGTGCACATAACATTCAGGATCTACATAAAAATCTAATTGTATATCAGAGGACGTTTGTCTAGATTTTCATTCTGTTAGCATAATTAAGTCCATTCTTCACCATTTTCAGTCAAACTCAGATGCAGCTGGCATCGTCTGACAGCTCCCACGGAGTGTCTTGGACTGGATACTCCTTAGGGGGTAAAAATTAATCTCCTCCCACCCTGATAGCTGCCTCACCTGAAACTGGTGCCCCTGCTGCTGTTCTCTGCACTCACTGTACGGATTCATCTTCTTCCATTTCTCTTAGGGACACAAAACAAAAGCACACTCCACTCCAGCTGTACGTTTTGAATGATTTAGTAAGTGGAATTCCAACACAGATGTCTTCTTTCATCCTACTAACTTTAATTAAAGTAAAAAAAACATTTTCAGATAAGAGACCAATGGACCTCTGTTATTTGACTTCTTTAAAGTTTAGAAGTGAGCTTATGTTTTGGTACCTAGACTTCTGTGGGGAAATGATTTTAAACTGAGAAGTATTTCAGGTTTAAAAAAAAAAAAAAAACCTCTAAACTCTGTTGTTTAAATCTTTCTAAGGCCTCCACTCCTGGTGTTTTAATGTCAGCTGAGATCCATTCTTTTTCTTCCATGTTCCAGAGTAAGACTGTGGGCCCCTTCCTTGCTAGTCTTCTGCTTTATTTTCTGTCAGTTGAGGAGTGAAAGGGGACGTTTTTTCGCAGAGCAGTCAATCCATTCAGATTGGGAAGGATGGAAAGCTCACATTATTTTTCCTATTGGGAAGAACTGGGCAGAGGATTTCAGGAATAATCCCACTCCTGGGATGGCCTTGCACCTAGTGACTTACATAAATGCTATTTCGGACATGAGCCTAGTGAACAGCCATCCTGTCCCTACTTAGGTGTCATCTCTGAGAGCTCCGTGGTCCATGGAATGGTACTGGTACAAAGTGTATTCAGTGCAGGGAGAATAGGGGGCAGGCTCTTCAGTGTCACAGAATGTCTGGCCTGGAAGATTGAGTATGGGATATCGGGGGCAGTCACTCATTTTACAGATGAGGACACTGAGGCCTGGAGATGAGATGTGACTGCAAGGCCACCCAGAAACCTCATTTTCTGCCCCTCTCCACAGCTGTGCTATTGTCGTGCTACTAACAAAATAAGGACACAGTCAGAAGAGAAAGGGAAAAAAACCCTTCTACTGTCCAACCGATAATTGATTGTAGCTCATCCAGTTGCTTAGTCTTAAGACTAAAACGCATTTGAGTTCTGAGGGACTTTTAAATTTCAAAAGTTGGTTTAAATTTGATTTTAACTTACTGAAAAAATAAGTTTATGGGGTCAAGTGCCACATAAACTCATAAGATTTGATCAAGATTTTTTGATCTGAGTACCTTAGCAGGTAAGACTAACATGACTTAAACATTTCAAATGGAGGTGAAAACTTCACATTTTGACCACTGCAAAAATCCTCCCTTGTGCTTGGATAAGTATTTTCCAATCCTATCAGAACAGAGAGGAAAAGGGGTCTGTGAGAATGGGCTATAAGGAGATGGACGCATTTCATGACGGCTTTCCAACACCTGGTGCTCAAGAAGGCAGTTCTTTGTTAGTTTACATCTTGGTTTCACTGTCAATAGTTTTCTCAGTTTCACTGTCCTGGGCAATCAGTTGATATGGTTTCTTCATTTCATTCTCTTCAATCACCGAGTTACCCATTTCGACATCGCGGTTCTTTAGTTCGTGTCGTGACAAGTGCTCAACAATCCCGGCTCCCAGAGAGTCGCCCAGCACGTTGGTGGTGGTTCGGAGGCGATCCCTGCAGGCAGGATGCAGAGGAAGGACAGTGAGGCTCCCGGGGAACACCATGCAATTTCAGTTATTGTGAACTGACCAGGGAGGTCTGTAGAAGCAGCTCTTGGAACTCAGTTTGGTGTCCACCAAATGCATAGTTACATAACAGACACAACATTTATAACAGCTGTTAAAAGTTATGCGCACATATAGATGATTAATTTTCAGTTAGTCTGACTGGAGCTAGAGTTCCCGCTCTGGGGAGGAAAAAAAAATCCTTCCTTTTTCTCCGTCTATTTAAAATTTGTTTCCTCCAGCTCACTTCCATTTAAATCAGTAGTTCTCAGAATGTGGCCCAGAAGCCAAAACTAGCCTCCTCATGTGTTACTTAGCCCTTTCACTCTTACTTTCTTGTGAATTATAGTGGAATTCTCAAAGACTACATGATGTGCAATAGCACACTGAATGCAGAAGCGATTACAAGACTCCAGCTATTTAGTATTAAGCTGGATAATTTTTTATGTTAATATGTAATTTATTATAATCTTTGAATTAGAAATTTTAAAAATTTCCATTTCTCTAATATGACAAATATATTTTATAAAGTTTTATTTATATTCATTTTATTCGAAAGGCATAGACACATGGAGAGAGATCATCTACTGGTTCACTCCCCAAATGCTTGCAACAGCCAGGGCTGGACGAGCCTGGAACTACATCTGGGTCTGCCAGGCGAGTGGGAGTGACTCAAGTGCTTAAACCATCATCTGCTGCCTCCTAGGATGCATATTAGTAGGAAGCTGGAGGGGAAATGGAGTAGCCAGGACTTGAACCAGGCATGCTAAGTGGCTGCTTAACCACTACGCCAAATCCGCATAGATAAAATGCTTTTTTGGTGCTTAGTACGTTTTGAAGTGTCAAGATCAAAAGCTTTGGGAACCATTGCTTTGCACTGTGAAAGTGCTCACGTTGAGTGCAGACTGTGGCCAGATAGTGCTTTGTAGGCACCATTACATTTACTCCTCAAGGGACCACTAGGAAGTAGAAGGCATGAGCATCCCTGTTTTACAGAGGTGGGATGGAGTGGTTGGGTAACCTGCCTGGGATCACACAGGGCTAAGATGCAAACCCAGAGCCAAGGTGAGCGGGGAATTCATGGGTCCTCCACGTGCTCTGTGCAAGCTCTCAGGCTCTTCATTCTCCGTAGTTGGGGGTCAGGTCAACGTACGTTGACTCCAACACCTACTGCTATTGCCTTCTAGATGTTTGCGCATCCTGGGGAAAATTTTCTCAAAAGTGGAGGAGAGCTCAGGGGAGAAAAGTTCAGAGAATGTCACCTGGAATAGCGAGGGAAGAAGGTAGAGGGGTGGGCCCTGGAGGTTAGGGTCTCAGAGAGTGGAGGGCACAGTTCTTGGAACTTTCCCTGGAGCCAAGACTCCGTTACACTCGATGACACTAGATCTCTTCCCACTGTCAGCACGGCCACCCCTCGCTCTGTTGGGTTCAGATGGGAACATCTGCGCTGCACTACGCCATCGGAACGGAAGCACAAGGAGGGAAGGGCCTGTGCCAGCCTGTGGAACCTGTAGTTGTTCCAGCCGCTGTAGGGATGCATTGTGCAATGCCGAAACGGCCTTGATGATTTATGCTGGCTTCACAGACTGCAGGTTTCCCAATCTCTGAATGGCTTTATGGAGTGAAAAGTACAGCAAACAGATGTGCTCTGCCTGTTGATAAGGGAGTGCGCACGCGCGGTGTCCAAAGCTTGGTCTCCAGATAAGGGCCAAGGGTCGGGTAGCGAGGGCTCTCTAATTACAGGCCACACTGCCCCTCTCTGAGGAGTCGTTTATGGCAGAGGGGCCCCCACGGTGTGAGCTGGCACGCGGTCCCAGAGTACTCACAGGAACCAGTCCACGGCAATGATGAGCGTGATGTCGTCAGTGGGCAGGCCCACGGATGTCAGCACGATGACCATGGTGACCAGGCCTGCCTGAGGAATCCCAGCTGCTCCAATGCTCGCGGCCGTGGCCGTGATGCTGGTAAAGGAAGAATGGAAATAGAAAACACTGTTACAGATCTGCCAAGGAGAGAGAGAGAGAGTCCTTAAAAACGCACGTGGTGCCGATGCCTGCTGTGCCGCGTCAGTACAAGAGGACTTGCTTCAAACACACGTAGCTGGGGTTTCAAAAAACCCAGTGAGCTAATCATCATACTAGTCTTCATCATGTGCTTATCATGTGTCATCCGAGATGCTGAGTATGACTTATCTTACTTATCTAGTTGATCATCACAACACACTTTATGAAGTTGGGTGTATTACACAGCCATTCTTGAATGAAGACTTCGTTTGCACATTCCTTACTGTATTTTGTAAAGGTCTAAAATGTCAGTTGCAGTAACATTTGTTTCTAATAATTTCCTTATCTAAGTGGAGGCTTGTAAAGACCCTGAGTTTGCAGATATGTCTGTATTCTCGGCGATGCATGCCGGAAACATGGGGGCAAAGAAGAGTTTTTGGATCTAGGAAGAGGATACTTTTTGTAATATTAATCTGACTTTTCTCTACGCAGAATTAAAAAATAGAAATTTGTGGGAAAACCCCCCAAAAGTGACTTACTCTGCTCTTCAAAATACAATGTGAATAACAATGAAAAACGACCGCCAGCAATGAAGAGCAAAGGCAGATCTGGGACATGAGGCGTGAAGTCTCTGTCGCCTTAGGCTTAATGGATGCTGCACACGGTGAGTTCGGGGGCTGGGGGTGGGGGTGGGCAGGGGATTATGCTTGCATGTGGCTGTCCATGGCTCTCTGCAGGGATGCCAGAGAAACTGGGTGGGTGATGCCAGTTGCCTCCACAGGAGAAAAGAGAGACTGGGGGAAGGTATGGAAAGGAAAACTGCTTTTCACTTAGTACCTCAAATGCAGCAGTTAATGTCTCCATAAGAATCCAATCCTCAACCTGCTTGTCAGTGTGGTCTCTCACCTATGTTATACTACCTAACAGTCAACCCAAGAGAAAAAGTTAATCTACTTTTTCAAGTACGTGTTTATTTTCTAATCTTACCTATAAAAGCTAACACGTTTTAATGCTTTTTAAAATTGAAATGCAACATTTGAAAAAGAAAAATCTATACTGAGTATTTTGCAGATATTAAGAGGTATAACTGATGTACTGATAGGCAAACTATGAATGGTATGATTCCATTATTTATAAACAAGGAGTGTGTATGTGTGTATTCACAGGAAAAGGTCTTTCTAAACCAAACATGAAGCATGGTCACCTATAGAAAGAGGGGCTGATAAGATGGCAGGTAAAATTTTTTACCTTATATACTACATTATTTGAATGTTGAGTGTGCACATCTAATTTCAAAATTTTTAGTAAGCATTTCCAAATATAAAAATGGAACTATTGCTCCAAACTTCAACCTTTTGTCTGTGTGATCCCCTTCCCAGCCAGTTTCTTCACCCAACCCTGATCCCTTTCTTCTCTATTAAAGTCATTTTTAAAGAAAATATATGTAACTGTTTCCTTGTACCTGATTGTAATAATCTGTCCAAAGTTCAGATCAAAGTTGTTAACTTGAGCGATGAAGATGGCAGCCAGTGCCTCGTAGAGAGCAGTCCCGTCCATGTTAATGGTGGCCCCCACAGGCAGCACGAATCTGGTGACACGCTTGTCCACGCCGTTATTCTCTTCCAGGCACTTGAACGTGATGGGTAGGGTGGCAGAACTGAGGACAGTGAAACAGTTCACATCAGCTGAGGGCCTGCCCGTCCTGACCCTGTCTGGTCTTTGGGACAGACAGTTCCTTCCTGTCCCACGTCCTAAAGGGAGCTAAGTCAGCACTTGTATAAATAAGGGAGTGGGGTTGGGAAGAGCGTGGCCCCCTCATGGGGTCATTTGGCAGCTCTCCTGCTTCTGGGTTCCTTGTGGTTGCTTCCCCATCCCCACAACCTGTGCAGCTCCTCTCCACTCCTCCCTTAGGCCAGGCCAGCTGGAAGAGGGAGAAGACAGTGGGCAGGGAAGGAGACTTGCTTTCACTGTTTTCCCCAAAAGGATTCATAGCTGGCCATTCTGGGAATCCCAAATAGGTCTGAGTAGCATCAGAAATGAAAAAGCCAATTCAGGGGGTGGTGTTGTGGCACAGCCAGCTAAGCTGCTGGTTGCGATGCTAGAATCCCAAATCATATTGCCAGTTTGAGTTCCAGTTGCTCCGCTTCTAATTCAGCTTCCTGCTAATGCAACTGGGAGAACATCTGGTGATGGCTGAAGTACTTGGCCCACTGCCACCCACACTGGAGACCTGGATGGAATTTCTGGCTCCTGGCTTTGGCCTGGACCAACTCTGGCTGTCGCAGCCTACTGGGCAGTGAACCCATGGGTGAAGATTTTGCTCTTGGTGTCTCCCCTTCTCTGTTGCTCTGCCTTCCAAATCAAACAGTCAACAGTCTTAAAAAGCCAATTCAGTATTTAAGTTTCAAACCCAAAACAAAATGTCTCTTTGCAACTGCAGGGGCGCTGGTTCAAAGCAGAGTTTCAGAAACACTCCAAGGAGTCAACCATACGTGTACCTACCTTGAAGAGGTCCCCAGAGCTGTGATAAGGGCTTGCAGCAACCCTCCAATGAAAACCCAAGGGTTCTTCCGTGTCACCAGGAAATAGAGGAGTGGTAGGACAATGACGGCGTGGATGAGCAAGCCAATGATGACTGTCACCGTGTACATGGCCAGCTGCCCCCCAATCACACCCATGTCTTCCATCTCAACAATTTTCCCTGCAATCAGGAAGAGAATGCCCAGAGGGGCATACCTGTGGAGAACAACATACATGCAATTGGAGTCCAAAAAGGGGAAAGAAATGGGTTTCCAAACATTGTTGCCTTGGGTACTGTTAGAACTTGTAGAAATTATGTAATTCTTTCTGGTCTTTTTAAATATAAAGTTCCCCTGGTTATCACAGAACTGGACTCATTTGGGACTGATCTAGGACACAGATTTTTTTCTCCTAATCTTGTGACAAAAGCAGATGCAGAGGTTTTATTGTCCACCTGTTGTAGAAAGCTGTCTTTTCACCATGCCTGATCCTCAGAGGCCCTCGCTCACCCTGGACTGACACAACCTGCCTCCCCAACATCCAGACTTTTGGCAACATTTTCTGTTTCTGAACTGGATTGCCAGTTAAAGCAAGAGTCACAGAATACTGTGTCAGTATTCCAGATGGGCAGGCACTTCGCTTAACCTGTGGCCCCTTTTGTTTTTCCCACACCTCTATATCACTTCTAATATTACTTAGCATTCGTCTTTAAATCACCTTCTCTCTTTCGGTAAATTTACTTTAAAAAAGAGATTTTTTGTTATAGTACAAATGGAAAACTGGTACCATTTGCCATAAATAGGTGACCATAAAATAAATTTAGAGCTATTAATATTAACAGTGTTTACATATAGAGTCCCACAATCAGGCAACAGGCATTCTATTTACGTAACACTACCCACAGGCTGCTACTGCCGTTAGGGAGCGTTTCCCTGTGGACTCTGTGAGGAGGAACACAGTAATAACCTCGTAGCTTAAAGGTCTTGCTGCCCAGCTTTCAACTGCGGGTCCACTGTGTGCAATAAACTACAACCAAACGCACATTACTGAAAACAGAGGAACCGACTGCCCTTAAGGAGAAGGGTCTGCTGGGAACTGTGGAGGACTTGTTTCAAACTGGAAAAACACCCAACACAACGCTTCTTTCAAAAGCTCTTTAAAAACGCAGGCCAGGAAGTCACAGGGGTACCTGTTTGCAGAAATGTAATAACTCAAGGCTTGAGTGTGTGGGCCGATGTACGGCTAGAAAAGCTGCATGTGAGGTTCATTCAGGGCCTTGAATGGGCTTCTTTTATAGAAGAGGTGAAAGGTGGAAGCATTTTAATAATACGAAGATAAATGTCCACTTTGAGTGCTGCCAGGAGTTCAAAAGAGCCTTCCAACTGGGGGTTCCTGTGGAGACCACATTCTGGTCTTTGTGCCCTGGTTCATATCCACCTTGCACCAATTTCTAAAAAATGGATTTCTCTGGGCTTTGGTGGCATTCAAGACAAAAGAAATTCTGAGTCACGTTGACGAGTAAGTGCTTTTCTTAGCAATGGATGCTTTCCTGCCTCAGTTGCCAAGAAGAGCCTAGATTAGAAATCAAGCATAAATCCTCACACAAGGCCTAAACCAAGCAAAGGGTTTTCTCCCTTCTGGTGGGGGGCAGGGGGAGGAGGGTTTACACTCCAAGGTCAATGTTCTGCTTTGCATTTAGTCTTTTCCTTTGTTTCCTGCTCTCAGCTTTATTAAAGGAAGTTTTGTTATGGATTGTGGCTTGGGTTTCCATAATGTCTCCCACCAGTCCTATAGGGATTGCAACAGAACTGCCATGTGCGTTTCTTTATAAAGGCTTCCGCATTTACTCTCCCTTCTACGGGGAATGCTCTCTACTGGCCTTTGTGTAACTGGTCATTCAGGCGTTAGCCTCTCTGAACCATCCAGGGCAAACTTTGTGCCTTTTCTTCAGTCACTTGGTGTTATGACTACAGCTTATGGTTGATGGGTTTGTTTATTATCTGTCTCCCTTAAAAGCATGTAAGATTTAAGACATCCTCATTTGGTTTTTCATTGCTATATCCACAGTGCTTGGCATTATATGCTTAGCATAGAGTAGACACTCCTTAGATGGATTATTCACTAAATAGATCTAAAATGCAGGAATGAGGAGTGGGTTTCCATCAGCACTGGGATAAAAAAGAGGACACCCTGGGGGCTGGCACTGTGGCATAGCAGGTAAAGCCGCCACCTGCAGTGCCAGCATCCCATATGGGTGCCAGTTCAAGACCCGGCTGCTCCATTTCCAATTCAGCTCTCTGCTATGGCCTGGGAAAGCAGTAGAAGATGGCCCAAGTGCTTGGGCCCCTGCATCTGTGTGCATCTCCTGGCTTAGGATCGGCACAACTCCGGAGTGAACCAGTGGATGGAAGACCTCTCTCTCTCTCTCTCTGTGTAACTCTTTCAAATAAATAAATAAATCTTAAAAAAAGGACACCTTTCCAAGACAAGGAAGCAAACTTATTAAGATAGGCTTGCAGGTAGGTTCAAGGCCTCTCTAGACTCAGAAGTTCCATTTTTCTTGTGCTTACCAGAGTGGGATGACTGCACTTGGCCATCCCGCCTCCTGGCATCTTCCTCAGGACAGAACATATGTTGATGGCAATAAGCATCTTGCATATAGGATGTAGAGCAAATGGAAATACATACCACATTATCACTGCCACTAATCTCATGATGGCTTCGTTAAGAGAATCAAAGAAATCTCTCAGGGCTTGTCCCTGCTCCTTCATGTTTCCAATCACAAAACCGAAGCACATGGAGAAGACAACTAGGCCAAGGGCATTGACCCCATTCACAGATCCTGGAACCGGAACCAGCTCCTCTGTGATCCGCGTGAGCGCCTCCATGGCTTCTGACACATTGTTTATCACAGTACCCACGAGCGTTTCATTGGCCTGGATGGGCACTTTAAAGCTTCTCTTCTCATAGTTGGTCTTAAACTTTAAAATAAAAGCACAACATGGTTTAAAGGGGATTTTCATTTTTTTCTTCACACTTCTCTGTTGTCCAAATTTTCTATAATAGTACATGCTACTTTGTGTTCAGAGAATAGTGTAATTTTCTCCCTCCCTCCTTCCCTCCCTCCCCTTTTCTATTCACCTACCCACCCACCCATCTATCTTGTGGCAAACCCCTACTCCTTCCTCAAAACACACACACACTCAAATACATAGAAATCACAACACACACTCAAACACATAAAAAAATAGAAAAGAGGGACCTTGTTAAAGATGTACTAAACACACGTGGGCTTTTGCTATCTTTTGAACCAAATGACTGTAATGGAATATTTAAAAAGCTATAAATACAAATATTCACAATAGTCCTTTTACATTCTGTGAGGATCATGCTATGGGAGCATGGATAAATCACTTTATATCCTTTCATAGTCCACAGCTATGAACAAAGGACAACTATGCTGGTTCTACCCTGTGAGGTTGTTGATGTGACCAAATTAAACAGAACACAGGAGATTATCTTACAAATTTTAAAGTATTGTACTCATGCTGGCTAGTGATGTCCAATGATAAAGTCCTCCAGGGATTACGCTTAGCTGGAGAGATCTGTGGATATTAAAAATTCCAAAACAACCACTCTTCAAGCCATTCCTAATATTATCAGTTCTTAAGGATAGGTGCTTAATAGTTGAGGATAACAACTTACTTTCTCCAAGTCCACAGTGGCATTTCTCTTCTAACCCAAGAGATGGTCTTTTCCCCATAGCTGCTGCATAGATGCCTCTGACGGGAGATGCTGAGTATATTACTGTGGTCATAAGATACAAGGAAGCCCATCCCTCTAAGATTTTAATGAGAGTAGAGTTCCTGGCATTATGGTGATGGTAATAAAGCATCAGCGAGAGTGAGAATAGGTCTGTCGGCTGCATCTAGAGTCTAGGGGAAGAATGCATAGCCCAGCATGAAGTGCTCGGCCATTTCTTTACCAGGAATAAATAGAGGGCTTTCTTGTCCATTGGGAAACCACCCTTCCCAAACAAAGATATATCCAGCCGTCAATATGGTGAACCATCCCTAAATAACCAGTGGTACTGATTGGTAATTTCAAACACCAACACCAAGAAAAAACTGGCTCCTGTCCGTCTTATGTTTCAGTCAACTCTCAAATCTCTATTCCAATGGTTGCCTATGCAACGTACAGCTACACAGTGTAGATTTTCAATCTGCTCATTAGCCTTTCCCATGCCTCCCTTCACCTTAGACACAGTTTGCTGCCTACTCAGGAACTGAGATCTCATTTGCATTCTAGTCTAAGCCAAACAGATTTGGGGAGATATATTTCCTCCCCCTTCAAAACCCTTTAAATGCAATCCCAAACCAAATACAATAAATCTACATAAGTCAGCACTTTTTCCATCTGAAAGATCTGGAAATCAGCATTTTTTATATTACCCACTGCCAGCTGACTAATGACAATAGTCAGCCCATAGTGCTGGGGTTGGCTGGTTGAATTTAAATGGGTTACAGTTGTTTTTGAACAAATACAGTTAGATATTGGCCTCTTAGACTTTTTTTAAAAAGATTGTTTGAATTTGCAATGCGCACACATATTACCTATTAAAAAGTCTTCATAAAAATATTTAAAATGAGGGGGAATAAAGGCCAAAGGAGAACTTGTACATGTGAAATCCAGCCACCAGGGTGGGCCGTTTGGGCTGTGGTTAAGCTCCAGTTGGGATGCCTGTGTCCCATAGCGGATGGCCAGTGTTTAAGCTCTCTCCCCATTCCAGCTACTTGTCAATGCTACAGCTGGGGGCAGTAGGTGATGACTCAAGTTACTGGACCCTTGCCACTCACATGGGGAACCCAGATTGACTTCCTGGCCCCCAGTTACAGCTTGGCCCAGACCTGGCCATTGTGGGCATTTGGGGAGTGAACCAGTGGAGAGTGCTTTTTCTTTTCACGTTTCAAATAACCAAATATTTAAAAACCCAGTTCTAAAAAAAAAAAAGTTCTCTATGAGATCATGGTTTTGTTTTGTTTTACTGAAATTCTAAGCAGAAAGGTTGGGGAAATACAACTGGAGCGAATTGACACCATCTGGAGAAATGCTTGGGAAGTAGTATTTAACCCAGAATGTCCAACTGATTCTTTTTTAATATTTTGGGCAATAAAACTTTTTTATTAT